ACCTGCATGTCTGCTGCAAAAAACTGTCTATCTTTTGTTTTCTGATACAGTGCCAGGCCAAGACATAGAGACTTCCAACATAAAAGTCGTCTGTCATGGGGAGATATTGTTGTGTTGTAGAAGCAGACAGAAGGCTTCAGGACTTTCAACTTTCTCGTCAGCAGACAATTTTGTTCATACCAAGAGATATTTCAAATAGAAAAGAATGCAAATGCAATCTAGACACACTTAACAAAGAATACAGATACATTTGATGTATGCTTGGCTACAGATAGATGCATACATGTATCAAAGTGTTCTAAGGCACAATGTTTTTCTATGGTCTATTTTTTCAATAGATGCTAGAGAAAGGGAAGGTGTGAAGATTGCATTCCTTCTCTATTTTTTTAATCTATCAGGCAAAAATTCTGTTTTCTCTCAACAAAGTTACATTCTGTTGACAAGATGTCTTGGAAAATAATAAGCACTAGTATAAGGTGCAACATGTCATAGTTGATAGCACTATTCTATTAAAAATATCAAATTATATCATCATTTGGTGCAGTCTTTGAATGATCTGATTTGCCTCACTTGAATGGCATTCATTGATGGTACAAATCTCTACAGGGTTACCTGCTAGGTGTCACCTTTTTTAGAAACCTTTTCATGAAGGCATTGTGAGAATATAGTCAATGCCTCAAACAAAATGTATTTGTAGATTACCTGTCCGAAGCTGAAACTTGATCATGCAAAAATATGTACATTAAATAAAGTAAACAAAGGAAGTATTTATTTATGTGTGAGATTTTTCTTACCTCCCAAGCGTACGTCATGTCTTTAACTTCTGTCTTTTGTAGGCCAGTGAAGGGACCCATCTTCTCCCCAGCCTGCACGGCCACCTTCGTCCAGACCCCCAGCCCAACGCCCGCTGCCTTCGACTCCCGGAGCTCGAACTCCGGCGGGATGTGGATGTCGTCAGCGATGTAGACAGGTGCCTCGTACGCGCTGTCGCTCGGCTCCACCGCATGGTCAGCGGCCTCCGCGGGATGGCCATGGTCCTCCTCTACCGACTCGTCTTCAATCTCAAGTGCTTGTTCATGGTCGTAGATGTCTTCTAACTCGTCACCTGTGAGACAGGGAAAGGCAAAGATAAGCAAAAGAATGCCTGGTCTAACTAAAACTAGCAAGTGAAATTGTTCTATATTCTATGATATTTGTCTTCATTTTGTGCAAAG